CAGAACCCGGAGCGGTCCCTCAGGAATCCCCGCCGTGAGGGGAATCAGCACAGTCCCGGCGTTACCCGGCCGAGCCTCCCCGCCGCGGTCACCGCGGGACATGGCCGGGCCCGGCCGGGGCTCGGTGTGAAGCTTCCCGACCCCCGGGCAGGGATGCACAAGGGAAGGAAGGGCTTTACCGCAAGGAAGAGCTTCACTGCACGGCCACGGTGCCTCGGTGCCAGCTGGCCCCGCACCAAATGGCCCTCTCGGCTTATTAGTGGCCAGCGAGTCCTTCCGAGGCTGCTGACAATCTCCTGCGAAATCGAGTCATAATTAAGGCCAAAGCGAACAAGGGATCACAAGGCTGCCCAGCATGCATCTTTTGCTCAGTATCAGGATAACAAAGCTTGAGATTAATTGATACAGACTACACAAAGGAAATTCAGTGCCTGCTTCAAACTCATTATCTCTTAACCCTTCTTTACTGACACTCATAAAGCTTCCACCCTAGAAATCTGCTGGAGGAATCCACGGTTGAATTTCAGCCCTCAAGCCATGCACAGAGAGCATATGGGAGCTTGAAAGATGATACATGTTTTCAATATTCATTCCCAAGATCTACATTTGGGCATTTTAAAATGCTGACTTACTCAAGACAACGTTGAAGTAGAATATAAGTGGCAATGGAGGAATGCAGATCCTTGACAAACACCACTCCACTGCCCTCCTCCCCTAGCTGTCCCAGTTACTCAGGGACACAGGTAAACCCTGAAATCCATTTGTTGAAACAAGTCTGCCTGAAACACAAGATGCTCCCAGAAGCGGACTGAATGGTTTCACTTGTTCTCAACAGACTTGGTAGATATCCTGTGTGAGTTTTCTCTGAGTGGGTACTTTGTGTCCGAAACATCCCCAGTTCTGGAAAAGCTCAAGTCTTACTTGGGAGCAGAACTAAATCCCTTCAAGGAGCCATTGCCATCCCTTGAGAGTTGAGCTGCCTCTCACTCTCTGTGGCAATGCAGAGCATCCTCAGAACTTCCTTTGCAGTGGCTGTGACATTTTAGTCATTCTCATTTTACAAAGCTTGACATTTTCAACAGCAGATTTTCCACTTTAGCCATGCCTTGTGCCTGTGTGCAATACTCTTAAAGAGGGAGTGATACTCCTATAAGAACCTCACCATGTTTTAAGTTATATTAAAGTAAGTCCTCGCAAATACTGTCACACAATATAGCAGAGACCTTAAGTCTAGTGAGGATAATGCAAGTAACGTACGGAAAAAACTGTAGAGCCAACCAATTATCTATGGGACTTTTAAAAAACCCAAATTTACTTTGCACTTGTACAGCGAGAGGCATTTCAGGATGCACTCTGCTTTGGTGATCACAAATGTGTTTAAAACTCCCACAAAGATTTATAAACACCAAGCTTAGCTGAATCACAGGCCATGTGAGGTCTGATAATATCTCTTTTTATATACATCTGCTACAAGGAAACCTCAACTGGCAAAATTCCCACCAATAAAAACGAATGCAGAGTCACAGATCTACACACACACAAGTGTGGATTTACCCACTGCCACACACCACACTTGTGTGGCACCCCAAATTTAGCCTGATAGCATAACTTGTTTTGTACACCTGCAATACGAAAGAAAAAAAAAAAAAAAAAAAAAAAAAGAAAAGAAGATCCATGTACTGATTATAGCAGGCACTGATGTTCTGCAGAGCCCTGTTCTTGGAGACCAATTAGAGCCGTGTTCCCGAAGCACACACAGAAACGTCTGTTTAATGACAGTTCAGTGATGTGACTGGGAGGAAGGTCCTCCCCACGCTCCTGCAGACAAAGTGAAACTAAACTTTATTAACTTTCTAAGTTAACAGGAGTCTCACCACGGATTTCAGTGAACTTTGGATCAGGCCCTACAGCACTATTTGTTATTTTACACCACGACCGCACTTTAAATCTGTCTGGGGTCCTTCCAAGCAATCCTGTTCATCCAACATTTATGTCAGGTCGAAAGATTACTTTTTTCTTTGTCCTCTTGCAAAGGCAGATCGACCAGTTCCCAAATCGCTCTAATTCCTCCACCCCGACCCCCGTTTGACTGCCACAGCTGCCCCCATGTTGCGATTTCTGAATACATCTTTGAATCCATCTTCCAGCCTCCAGCCTAGCAACAATGTTCCTTTCAATTCCCACCGGCACCTACCCAGCCCGCCCGCTCTCCAGCCCTGGCACATCCCGACCAGCTCCCACAAAGCCCGGGATTTACCACCGGGAGCCGGCCCCACGCTCCCCGCCGGAGTTCTCCGTGCCTGTGGATTTGGACACATGCTCCGGCGGTGAATGTTCCCAGGCTCCGGGCCAGCTTTGCTGGGATAACTCATCTCCCTGCGGCTCCCGGCAGAGCCGCCGCGCTCCCGACACGCGGGGGGGACCCCAAACGGGGCCCGAGCTCTCCCGGCCGCCACAGCCCGGTCCCGGCTCCTCGGGGGGATCCCGGGACGGGGCCCGAGCTCTCCCGGCCGCCACAGCCCGGTCCCGGCTCCTGGGGCGGGCGCAGCCGCTGTCTCTCCGCGCTCGCCGGGCGGAGTTCCCTGGTGCCGGCTGCCCGCACAGCCCCTCTCCCGCACCGCCCCCGGCCCTTACCAGAGCGCTATGCGGCTCTTGGGGTAGCTGAGCCTCTCGATGCAGCCCAGGACATGCGGCAGCGTGTGCGCGGCGTTGCGGGCGAGGATGGCGAGCAGCACGGTGGGCTGCAGCAGCGCCGACTCGGGCAGCGCGGGCGGCTCGGGGCCCGGCGGCTCGGGCGGCTCGGGGGGCTCGGGGATGGCCCCGCAGCCGCGCAGCAGCGGCGGCAGCAGCAGCAGCAGCAGCAGCGAAGCGCTCGCAGCCATGATGGGCGCGGGGCGGCCGCCGAGCCGCCGGCAGAGCGGGCTCCGGCCCGGGGGACGGGGAGGAGGGGGGACGGCGAGGAGGAGGGAGGAGAAGGGAGGAGAGGAAGGAGGAGCGGAGCGGAGCAGCGCCGCCGCCGCGCCGAGCCCCCGAGCCCTGCTGGCCGCCCCCATCCCCGGCACCGCCCCGACCCCGCGCTGCCACCGCCCCCCAGGTGCCGCCCCTGAGCCGATCCCCCCGTCCCCCATGAGGCTGCGGTCAGCGCTGCCGCTCAGCACCCGCGGTAAAAGCTGCTAGCCCGTTTCTCCTACCCGAGTTTTGGGTTTTAAAGAGGCTTTGGGAGTGTTGCTGCTAACGCTAACACGCCCTGAGTTCGATGCTGAGGTGAAGATCTTGCCCTCATCCTTCCCACACATGTAGGGAATTAAAGTAACGTCGAGCTTTTGTAATCAAAAAGTTTTTGGCAAACGGGACATCCGTACGAAACAGCCGCACACGCTACACCCATCCCATGCTGCAGGAGGGATGTCCTGTCCCAGCTAGAGCACAGCTGAAAGATTAATATCACAGAATCATAGAAAGGCTTGGGTTGGGAGGCACCTTAAGGACCAATCACATTCCAACCCCCAGTCATGGCAGGGATACCTTCCACTATCCCAGGCTGCTCCAAGCCCCAGTGTCCAACCCGGCCTTGGACACATCCAGGGGCAGCCACAGCTTCTCTGGGCACCCTGTACCATGGCCTCCTCACCATCACAAGGAAGAAGATCTTCCTAATATCTAATCTAAACCTACCCTCCTACAGTTTAAAGATGTTCCCCTTGTCCTATCACTATCTGCCCTTTTAAAAAGTCACTCTCTGGTTTTTAAGCTGCTCTCAAGTACTGGAAGGGGCTGTAAGGTCTCCCTGGAGCCTTTTCCTCTCCAGACTGAGCAACCCCAGCTCTCTCAGCACCTCTTCTATGAGGAAAGGGAGTACAGGGAAGATTTCCACTGTACTTTGTTGACTCACCTACCACGGATATGTTCCTGTGAATGGATGGCAGTTTAGCATAAAAATATATAAAACATATTCCAGCAATTAAAATTATTGGGTCATGATCTTAAAAGGGGCACAGTAATCACAGCTCTCTTAGAAGTTAATAGGATTTGGGCATGCTAAACCCTTTTCAAGATAAAATCTCTAATTAACTCTAAGGGCCCCATCTCGGCGTGTGTATTTGGGTTTTAATGTGGGTAGGAAGTCCGAGGTGAACAGACCCACTTTGAGCAGGCACTACTCTTGGCTGTGTGCTTGCAAGACTCAAATAGAAGGAAACTTTTGACAAGCAAACAATTGTCTAATTATGCATAATCTCATTGTGAATTGCTTGCACACAGGGAAAAAAAAAAGCCATCACAAAAAGGATCATCCCAGCAAACTCCCATAAAGAATCTCCCGAGGTGATAGAATTATCCGCATTAAAATTTGAGAAACTCCCTCAATTTGTAGGCATCTCCCTGAACAATTAGTGCAAATATGTTCCTCCTGTTTGCCCTTCGCGATGTCTTTATAATTGTCCGTCTAGAATGATACATTAATGAGGCTTTTCTTTCATGGTTAGTTTGCCACATGTTGCTTTTCTGCTTGGATTCATTCACCGAATAGAAGGAGCAGCTTTGCAGCCTGTGCGAGGCGATTAGAGTTCCGCAGGAGCCAGCCCAAAGCACACGCGCGGAATTCCGCTGCCGCCCACGGGACCGCTCACTTTTGGAGGGTGGGGTCTCAAGCTGCCCGATTTATACTCGATGTGGAGGGCTGGAAGCTGGCATTTTCCACCCACTGGGCATTCAAGCTGGGTCTCAGTCCTGGTCTTAAGAGATTTCAGCAGTAATACGCCCCTCCTGTGCCTGCCTTTGCCGCAACTCCGAGTGTGCTTTCACCCTGTGCAGCTCTTGATGTCCTCAGTGAAACCTAAACTACCTTCGTCTCTTTTCAGACCCTCCCTTGTTTCTGCTTTGTAAGCAGCATCGGGGCCATAACCATTTGCTGGGGGCCTCCGGCAGCATCCCACAGATGGTCATTCGCTCTCCAAAGTGGCGTTCCCTCGCTCTCACAGCTCCCTATGCTGGCCGGCTCCTGCGGAACATAAAAGGGGGAGAGCAGCACATGCCTGAAACATGAGATGTTCTTCCATGCAGAACAGAAGGCAGTCACTCAGCTTTATCTCTCACTCCCAGCCGTGCAGCGAGGGGTGAAGTTTGGAGAGCTCAGGTAAATGGTCACTCTGGCAATTCCTGTCATTCCAATGACATGCAACGATATGCCTGCCTATAAATGTGTATGACTTAATGTGCACACACAAAGAAATCCCCACACATTCTGGCTTCTTTACTGGTGGCCAAATTTTTATTTTTAAGCCCAGACCCCATCCTGCTGTGACAGGACAATGAGCCACTCTCTGCTGAAATGTTTTGGCTTTGAGGAAGTAATGGCTTTCTGCAGACACAAGTCTCACAGAAACCAACTGAAGTAATTTGTTTCAACCTCCTCTAAACATCCACGGCAAACAAGATTCCAGCTGTGAGAAGTGTCTCTGGAAGTGGCATACTCCCTCTGTTTGGCAGGTGACAGACCCTTCGTGAGGCAGCTTTCTTCTAAAGCTGACTCATTTCCCACATTATAGAAAACAGATTCCACGCTGCTGATGTAAATGTATCTACAAGTGTCTATAGATGAGTATTTCCTTTCACTTGCTTCTTCACCTCTAAGAACTCAAATCCATCCACTTATTTTCCCAGCAGCTGAGTGAACCATTGTTGCCAACTCTTCCATAAAAGCCTTGAAGATTGGATTTTTAATATCCTATTTATTTATTTATTTATTCTGTGCCTGGGGAATTGAAGTGCTGGCTAACACAATGCTTTTTAAGCAGCCAACTACCTCAAAATTCCTTGAATTAGATTGGCCCAAATACGACTTCCTCTGGCTACAATCCACATGCCAATTTATGTATTAAATACATATAAACTAATTTTCATTGATGCTTTATTATAGAACAGCCAATATTTGAAATTTATCAGAAGAAGCACTGAGACAGATGGAGCTGGAAAGCCAGACCTGGTACAATTGGCAATAAGGCTAAGCTTGTTCTCATTGAAAGTCAGAGATATTTCTGGCAGAGCAGGTAATAGGTGCTTTAAATGGCAATACCTTAAATCCATGTCCTTTATGCTGTCTGTAGCAGCTCTGACCACAGCAGCTAATGTATTCCTTGCTTTGGAGCCTTTGGGAGAGGGGACTGGGAAAGGAATACATTCATATATACATATATACATATATACATATATACATATATACATATATACATATATACATATATACATATCACACACACACACATATATGTAGATATATAAATGTTTCCTGTAAAGGGTTGACAGCAGCGCCCTAGGCCGTGGCTGGGAAGGGGGTTCGGAACGCAGCGGAGGCGGAACGATCGGGGCGGCGCGGCAGTTTCCGGGGGGCGCTGCGCCGCGCTCCCCGCCCGGACTGAAGCCGCGTTGCACAGGCAGGGACAGCGCATGGAGCCGGCGGCGGGGCCCGGCCGGGATGGGCTTTGCCCGGCCCCGGGGAGCGACGGCGGCACCGACCCGGGCCAGGGCTCCTCCGCGGCTGGACGGACCTCGGGGGCACGGGGCGGCTGGTCGGGGGCGGCTGGTGGCAACTGGATCGCGATTCACCCCACGGTAGGCCGGCGCGGGGGTCTCTCGGGGGTCCCGCTTTCCCCCCCGGACCCCGCAGGATTTTCCCCTCGCCACTCTCGAGGTGCACGTGGGGTCCCCCCAGGAGGGTTCTGGGAGGAAATGTCAATATAACTTACTTTATTGGGTGTGTCGAGGGGGGCTTCGGCCCGTGGGGTGCTCGGGGAATGCCATTGCCAGCAGGGGCGGAGGTTGTAAATCATAGAATATCACTTGGGAAACGTAGACACCGTAAACTTTGACTCCATCTTAACACACGGAAAACAAGGAGGTGTTTAATTTGGCCACCGTCTTATGTTCATGGGCTGTGGCAAAAATAGGTAACACTATTTACCCAAAAATAGGTAAAATTCCACAAAACTAAAGCTGTTCCAGGAATAGTTGTGATTCTTCATGTATTTGTTTATTTTGCTTGCTTTTTTAAAGTGCCAAAACCCGGGGATGTGAAAAAATGAGCTTTTGAGATACTGTCAGAAAACAAGTCCTGTTTTTTGATTGCCTTAAAACTGGTTTGAGACTCCAGTGGCTCCTCTGGCTGTAGAGATTCTGGGTTTGATCTGGGCATTCTTCATATGACCTGTGCTTTACCTTCACCAACGTTCCTGTTTGTGTCTCAGTTCACAGAAATGATGTCACTTGATGTATCTGACAGCACTCAAGTCTACGCTGCCTTTCTGGTGTACCTGGACCTCTTGGAAGGTAAATCAGGGAAATGACTGGGTCCTAACAAATGTCTTTGCCCTTAGGAGCTGTTGCATTAATTAAGCATTAATTGGGGTAGGACCTTGGTCCTTGTCCTTGGTGTCCATTTGGAGACTTTTTGTGCTAAGAGTTTCTATCCCGTGCCTCTCTGGAGCCTGTACAAAGATGAGGCCCCGTTTCATCCAGCAATTCCAGGTGCAGATGTTCCTGTGCAAAGCCAGCAGCATGGGGAAAAATCCAAAAGAGGAGTAGGGGAAGGAAAGGGAGTGTAGGAAGGTGAAGTTACAAGTTCAGTGGCTGTCGTTGCAATGGTCCTCAGTTGTAGGTTAATGTGAGGTTGCTCAGTCATAATGTTTCACCAAGGTCACCATTTGCCAAAYGCCTGCTGTGTGCTGGCCTGTGTTCTGCAAAGGGCAGGGATTCCTCTAGCAAAGATCATTTGCAAGTGTGGTAGCAGTAATTTATAACAATTGTGGTAATACTATATAACAAAACAGTAATTTATAACAAATTGTMGGTGTTGTGCTTAGGCTGTGGCTTAGGGGAGGACCTGACAGTGTCACTCTAGTGGTGGGACTCCATGATCTCAGAGGATTTCCAGCCAAAATGATCCTGTGAAATCCCATGCAGTCTGCTCAGTGGAGCAGAGTTATGTGATATATAAACTTCTCCTGGATCCTTCCAAGTTGGCCTTATTGAAAAGGAACTGTGAGTAGGCAGCCAGCCAGCCTGAGAAAAATATTTCAGTTTTGCTTGGAGCTTGGTGCTTCTCAAGGTCAGGGAAGGGAGGGATTTTGCGGGCCAGAAATGGCTGTGTCTGTTACTGTCTGTTACACTTCTGAAGAAAATGCCTTAATAGGCTTTAAAAGAAGATTTCTGTAGTTCTGCAGCAAAAACTTCAGCCTTATCCCTTCAAGGAGGAGGGAAGAACCATGCATTGTCATTAACCATGCTTTTACCACCTGCCCCTTCACAGTTCAGGGTACTGTGGAAGTCCATATTTGAGTGACAGTGCTGCAGAGGGCTAAAGCTGCACGGTTTTGTCTTCTTTTTTGCCTTTTTGAAGCAGAGCTTTGTCAGACAGATCCCTGTTCACCATCCATTGGTGCAGCTCTGGACGCAGTGAGCTGGTCCTGCTCCGAGGGTTTCTTTAGCAGGATTGCTTCTTGGGAAGGGAATTTGGCAGATCCGGGGAGTTTTCCTGTGAGGAGAAGGAGGCAAAACAAAACCTTCGATGTCAACTTGATACTTCATACTTGACTGATTGAAACTGGTGTTTTGTGTTCTGCCCCTGTCATCCCCGCCCAATGTTTTTAGGGAGGAACTGGCACGAGGTGCAGCCCGTGGGGGTGGCAGAGCTGCAGCTGGTGTGTTTGCACGGCCGGGCCAGGGAGCACGAGGGGCTGCAGGTGATGGTGCCGGTGCCTGCACACATCCTCATCAGCCACGAGAGGTGAGGTGTGCTCCGGGCTCGGCTCGGGTTGCTGCGGGCATTGAATGGATACATTTTATCGGCTTGGTCAAAGGGGAAGGGGGAGGAAACAGAGGAATATTGGAGGAAAGCGCCCTCTCAGCCTGTGAGCAGTTATTTTGGGTGCTGCACACACAGGCAGCTTGGAGCATTAAGGAAATCTCAGCTTTGCATCACTCTCTGCCTCTCCCTGTCTGGGAGTGTTTCTTGTGTGTCAGCTTCCTGCAGCAACTGATGCCCACTGATAAACACTTCCTGTAGTCTGGAGTTGCACATGTGCTGGGAGATAACAGTGGATACCGAAGTATGTGTTTGAGAGGCAAAGTTAGGACACAAGACCTTCACAGCTTATGTTTTGAGCATTCTTGTGCTGATTTTGTAGTCTGGGAAATGTAGCAATTCTTCCTGAGCTGCTGGACTTGAAAGGACCCAAGAGGAAAAAAATCGTCTTGGAGCTGCCTAAGAATCAGCTTTTTTTATTGTCAAATTTGTGCATAAGCCTCGTGTGGTTTGGTTGGCTTTTGTTTTGAAACTGTAATTTGGCTGCTTTGAGCAGGAAACTCCTCTTACTTTAGATTTAGAGTTTCATGTGTCTGTGATTTTTCACTTACTTTCCTCACAAATGCAAGAACAATTGTTCAAGCAGAAGACAGCACAGCCATGAATTTGTGACATACAGATATTTGCAGCCTAGAGAACTTCTACTTCAGTAATTTTAAAGTCTGTTTTAACTGGCCCTTAGAGCATCCTCAGACACAGCATGATTTAGTCCCTGATAAAGGCTGCCTTCTCTTGTTGGCATTTGCCACGACGGCTCTTAAGGCCTTGACTATTTCAGCTGCATCATGTGGTTGTATATTTTTTAGCTTCTTCTGTTCCCACTCCTGCTAGGAGCTGGCTCAGGCCTGGCTTTTTAGAGATCTTGCTGCTTTTTGCTGTTTCCTCCTGCTCTGTGGGCAGCAGCCTGACACAGTGGGAGGCTGCTAATTAATGGTACTTATTAGATGTGTGTGTGCACTCTAGGAATGAAGTTTTTGCTTTTTATTTTGGGTTTTAGAAGTGACAGATCGATGTCTTGCTAACAGACTTTTATCTTTATTTTGCTGTTTGTTGGGTGAGGGGGAAGAAAATGATTTACTGGATATTAATAGGGTTTAGTACTATTTATGTGCTGAAAAAAGTATTATATTTGCAGGTATTGGTCTACCACTGCAGCAGGCTTGGTGTTGTAGAGAAACATGATGTGATCTCCACAGCAGAGGAAAGCTGCTGAGAGGCTTTGCAGGGTGAAATGCTGAGTGCCATCCAGCCTGTCTGCAAGGAGCAGATCTGAGTGTGTGTGTGTGTGTGTGTGTGTGTGTGTGAAAGGGACACACTGCAGTGCTCAGATCAGGGTTTAGGAGGGAAAAGAAGGCAGCCAATGAGGATGTGGGATCTTTGAGGAATTCCACCTACGTGCTGAGCTGTTGTGCTTGGTTAGCGTAGCGTGTTCCCACCTGGGCTGGAAACTTGGATTCCTGGCTCTGAGTCAAGGCCAGAAGTGTGTTCTGACTGACTTTTAATGACAGATATTCCACTGCATGCATGTCCTATCTTTTACTGTGTCATTGGAGCTTTTCATGGGCAGCCTCTGCACTTGTTTGTTCTGTGGTGATGCTGTTTGCTCTGCCTCTGGCACCGGAGTGTCTGGAATCCAGTACTGGAATGATGTGTGGTGGAGAGGCAAAGAGTGAATGCATCACATTGATTAACAGTACAGTTTGTGATGGGGGTTTTCTGCAGAGCAGCTATATAGGGTGTGTTGTCACTGAAATAAGCTGAATGCCAGGCTGCAGTGCCAGGTGTGTTCATAAAAGCCCATAAGTGTTCAATATCCACAGATGCTGTCAGGCTGGCAGGTTGTGTTTAGGTGTAAATCACTCCTGATTTACCTTCCAGGAGGTCCAGGTACACCAGAAAGGCAGCAGAGATTTGAATGCTGTCAGATACATCAAGCGACATAATTTCCGTGAGCTGAGACCCAAAAAGGAACATTGGGGAGGGAAAAGCACAGGTCATATGAAGAACAGAGCAACACTTGTATTTGTGGTGCTGAACGTGCATCTGCATTTTGTTCAGTGCTTTGGGGGTTTGTGTAATCTAAAAGCAGAGGAGGAGCTAGGAATACAAGTGAATGCAGCTCACTCAGTGTTGAAAATAAGCCCATGGACGCATTTGGGAAGGTAAAAATGTTCTGTCTCTATTTCTGGGCCTGGAGTTGTTCTAACTGCAAAAGCAGCCAGTAACAGCAGCATTTATGGGCAGCACTTCCTTGTTTAAYCAGTAAGGCCTGGGTAGGGTTTGGAAGTGACACCTTCCTTGCAAAGAACAAAGACTTGGGTCTTTGTTCTGCCCTATGTTTTTCTTATTGGTGTGGGGAAGAAGGTGATTCACTAGAAAATAATGGATTTTAGTACTCTCYGTGTGCTGAAAAAAAGTCTCGCATTTGCAAATATTAGTCAGTCACYCTTGTGGGCTTGGTCTTCCAGAGAAATACAGGAGTGGTTTTCTTCTTCAAATCCACATCAGCCAAGCTCTGCCTTCCCAGGTGTCTCATGGAGCTTCCTACTTGGCTGCCACTGAGGAATGTGTCCTTAAAAGGCCACAGGAAAGTTGCTGTGGAAATTACCAGCAAGGCACTGAGGCAAATAATATGAGTGCCCTGCAAAAAAAAAATAAAAAAATTACACGGTATTTTTTAGCCAATGATAAGATTTCATTGTGTCCAGTTTGTGCATGACATTTAAATGCTGAAGGCAAAAGCTGTTCTGCCTACTAAGCTCCCAGTCCACTTTTACAAAGCTGGGTGGAAGCTGCTCATGCAGGCCTGGCAGGGTAAGACTGCACAGGAACCCACCAAATGACAAAATTACAGGCTYTGAAGCAAAGAGTGAATGGTTGCACCACTCTGAGAATTCGCTTTGTGCTCTGTGTGCCCTTCAGATGAAGGCTGCTGAAGATTCTGTGAGCAAAGCCCTGGAGAGTACGATGCCATTTCTGTCTGTCTTGGCCACTGATGCACACACAGCTGGCTGAGCTCAGAGAGCTTCTGAGTTCAGCAGGGACTCGTGCTTGCAGGAGGAGCTCCCGGSTGCCTTGGCTGGGGTGTGTTTGCTGCTCACTGCACCTCAGAGCACACCAATCCCCTCCTGGTCAGTGCATGAGCAGAGGGAGCAGTCAGATCCTGGGAGTGCTGCTTCACAGCTGGCAGAAATGACTTGCATAAGCCAAGCTCGGTGAGTTAGGAGAGCTCACAGTGTTGACAGCTGCATTTTTCAGAAAGCCTGGAAAGCCTTGATCCTCTAAGGAGCAGGGATTYAGGTCCCAGATCTGATAGAATTGGGCACTGTCTGTCCTAGACAAATAACTCTGTCTAAGCAAAATGTTGCTGATAAATATTAAATCAGATTAAATGACACTCTCTGTATTTTGTGTGCAAGTATTGGAAATGAAGGATGAAGTTGCCTGGGGTCACGGAGACCTGCAGAGGTTGGGAAAGGCTTATTTTGTTAAAATGCTAGCTTAATTTTGGAAAAAGCAATACTTGAGTGTTTCATTTTAAAGCTGATAAGCATCCTGAGAAAGAAATCTGAGGACTGGAATCAATTTGCTCTCTTCAGAGTCTCTAGATTGTGACATAAATCTTGCTTTAATCTGAAAAAGCCCTGGGAGTGTAACATGGGACCTTCTTCACAGTTTTGTACTAACTCCCTTGCTATAAGCATAATTTACTCATACAGCAAATCACACACTGAAAATGTAATTAGTGGCTCCTAAACACAATCTCTTAATTAGTACTTTAWATTTWATTATTTTAATACTCATATTTCAARTGAGGTTAATGTGGCTCCTACAGCAGAGTTGGTTATGCAGTCCTGTGATTGAACATGCRTAAGTGTAAAGTAAGTGTCTTCTGTAGAACTTTGCTGAATGCTGATTCCTCCCTTTTGCATGGTTTCTCTTGTTTTCTTTTTGAACTTCCATGGAAAAAAAGATCTTTATTTTCCTTGGGGTTTCAGTTCCTTCTCCTGACCAGTGTGGCATGTGGATGTTTTATTTGCTTTTATTCTTCTCATTACGAAAACTGAGTTTCTCCTAGTATTCCCTGTGGTTGTGYTTTGGAAACAGATACCAGGGAACAGTGGTGTGCATTTATACCACCTCCCACCTGCATGTGCTCCTTCCCACATATTTCAAGGCACTGTGGGTTAATGCTGCTGCTTGCCCTGCAGCAGACTGTGGGGCAGTGTTCCCARTGGTGAGCTGTGTTAACATTTGCAGAGCTGGCTAAATCCAAGGAATTGTGCTCCTGGGAAGTTCCTGTGCTGACCCAGGCTGGGACAACGGCACGCTCTGGTGCCTGGGGTAATGATCTCTGCCGGGGCACTGAGACCAACTTGTGTGCAYTCTGCAGCCCTGCCTGCTGAGAAGGGGAGGGAGCTGTTCGGGCTGGCCGAGCCTGCCGTGAATTATTCACCCAAGTATAAAGGGCAGATTGAAAGCCTTTGGTTTTTATGGGATGGAAGGCAGTAGTTTCATTTCAGCTCAATGGAGCACTATGCGAGCTCCATAAAATTGCTCTGAGCTTGCAGCCTGATGCTGCTTCTCAGAGGCATTGCATGTGATGTGTCTCTGAAATGCTCTTTTGTTCATCACAGAACTTGCTGCATGAGTTCTCTTTATGGTCCTGCCCTTTGTTGGTTTTTGCAGAGTCAGTGGGAACCTCAGGGTCACTAGCTGTACACCTGGTTCTTTCTCCCAGGGAAAAGGGCAGGGTTATTTTGTTAGGAGCAGAAAAAATTGTGTGGGAAACACAGCACAGATTTCTAATGGGTGTTGAGGGGCTACTTTGTGCAAAATTAAGATGGGGCAAAGATGGAACACTCCCCTCTGTTCTCTGGATGGATCTGTGTGCGTTGCCTTATTTTGTTTTGAGATTTTTTTTTTTGAAGCTATGAATTGCCACAGTAATAGAAGACCAGATCAGTTTGCTGCCATCATTAAGTTTGAATGCAGCAGTAAGAGCATGTGCAGGATGACATTGTTAGTGCTGTTCCCTTAGCTGYGGTACCCCTTGCACAATGCTGAGTAAGTTGAATCTGCTCCAGTGACTAATTTCTTGGTGGAAAAAAAMCAATCCCTACTGACTCTAGTCGGCAGAGAACTAGAAAGCCTTTTCTAAGCCYTCTTTCTAGTTTTTTAGAAATGCCAGCTCTTTACTTTGGTATCCAAAGTGTTTGAGGTGAAGTCCTTTGCATCTCCTGCAGTGTGAGGTGAATGTGAGTTTTCTTCCTGGGTGGAAAATATGGGGTTTGTCCTGCTTGCTTTTGGCCTGGTGGGAGCAGATCTGGATTTCAGGCACCATTGGGTTTTAGAGCTAGGCTTTCAAATTACACTGGAAACTTTGCACTGCATGAGCTCCAACAAATGAGAATTTTTATAAACACTTACTCTACTAATGGGGCTTCTGTAAAACTCTGGAGTGTTTCTTATGGTGTTTGTATTCCCCTAACTTCAGTTATTTTCCTTTCGTAGTGCCGTTGTTCAAGATGTACCATTTTGTGTGGGAAAGCTAAAGCTTCTGTGCTGCTTGTCTTAACGTTCCCTGGCTATTCATCCTGCCAAGGGGGAGGAGTAGTTGCAGGGTACTTTAATTTAGACTTCTCACTGTGTGTGCAGGAGGTTTGATGGTTCTGTGCACCCTCCTGGGATGCTAGATGGTTTTTTCTTAACCCGGTGGTCATTGGCATGAATCCTGAGAAGATGGTAYGGTAGGGTTGACTGTCCCTGCTGGCCCTTGACAGGCTGAGCCTGTGGAGGAACATATGCTCAGGTGATAGAGTCCTGTCTGCTGTCCTTGAGGAGGTGGCAGAGTGACCAGGTGCATTCTGCCAGCATAGGCTTTATCTGACCCTGCAGTGAGAACATGCTTAGCTTTTACTGAGACCCTACAGAACAGCAGAAACTGTTTCTCAGCTACACCTTCTCTCCCGTCAAGTGTCTCCATTCTGCTGAAAACTGTGTGCAGCCAGTGGTGTGGGCATGCTGGAATTCCCGTGGAAAATGAGGAGCCAGAGAGAGCCAGTCCACACCAAAGGCTTGATCCCACAGCTTCTGTGGGGCTCACGCTGTTGGAGCACAGCCAGGGAGCCCAASCCAGAGTGCTCATGGGTCCCTTGGTGTCAGGTTCCATCAGTCAGCAGTAGTTCCAGAGTGTCCTAACACAGCTGTGCCTCACAGGSAGAGGCTGCTCAGGGTGCTGGGGAATGAAGGGGTCAAGGCTCTTGGCATCTGCCAGACTATTGGATGCAGTGAAGTGCTCTGTTCCTCCAATGCCTGATGCTTTAAGAACCATCACATCCACTTTYATTGAAGCAAATTCATCTTTTGTAATTGTCATCACCTGTGTGCAGCAGCAGATTGGTCTGGTCATTAAAGAGTTTGYTGGTAGCCATTAGCTGGGTAATTTAAATCAGCTGGAACTATTGGGAGATGTTACCACATGGGCTTCCTACCAATGACTTCATTTCCATCATTGGATGCAGCTGTTGTGTGTGATGGGCAGCCTTGAGGGTTTCCCTTGAAATAAAGGCTGTCAGAGGTGCAGTCTTTGATTTTCAGAAGGCCAGCAACACTTCATGTTTCCTTCTTTTTCCATGGACAGCAGTAGATGCAGCAAAAGGRTTACAAAAGGATTGCACAAAGGTTCTGTGGCTTCTCTGATGRTGCAGAGGGATGTTGTGGGCAGGCTGGGCACAGAGGCTGCTGGGGATGCCTTCAGGGGAGGAGGACAAGGGATGGCTCTGACACAGACTTCCTGAATTCCGAAGCTTATCCCTCCCAAAGACACCCTCTCACTGTTCTGAAGTGCTGCAGTGCACTGTGGCTGCTGTGGGGTGCACAGAGAGAGCCCTTGTTTGGGCTGCCTGTGCTGAGGRAAGAGGAGAGAGGAAAGTGGTGCGTTTGCAGCTGTCATTGTTCATCTGTGGACAGCAGAGTTGGCAGATCATCCTGAGGCAATGGCATGGCTTTGTGCTCCTTGCATAAATCCTGTAACTCTCCTCTCCTGGAAAGGAAGAAGAAATGAGAAGAAATAGCATTAATCTGTTGTCAGGACCTGGCTGGTTTTGGGATTGTGGGGCATCTTTGAGGTCCTGGATGCTAAACGGGGGCGGTAAATAAAGGTTCAGGTGTCTGTGTCTGGCAATATAAGAAGAAATTCTGAGTGAGAAATGTAGATCTAAGGCCTCACTGTTCCATCCCTTCCCCCAACAGACTATGAAGGAAACCAGTGTCAGGTACTAAAGAAAATAGGAAGGATCTTGTGCCCTGGCTGACAGGTGAATCCAAGCCCCTGTCTGAGTCTGCTCCCAAGATACAGCATTGTCCACACTGAACACAAATCTGGTTTCTTTGGCTCCCAAAATACTTCTCTTGAGCAGCTGTACCCTTTTGTTTGGCATTTTATTGTTAATTCTATATCACATTCCCAGGAGAAAGAGAGGTTAATATCCACTGCTTCATGGGTCGTTCTTTCCTCGCTGRGTCTCTGCCAGCAGCCTGGCCTCACCAACTGGGAGCTTTCTCCAGACACTGCTGAGGGTGGGCAGGCCCTGGCACCGGGTGAGCTGAGCAGCTGTGGCTGCCCCTGGATCCCTGGAAGTGTCCAAGGCCAGGCTGGACACTGGGACTTGGAGCAGCCTGGGCCAGTGTGGGAGGGCTGGGATGGGCTTTCCCCAGCCGTGCTGTCTCTGCTGCATGGAGTGACTGTGTGCTTTGGCCTCTCTGTGTGTCTGGGTGCAATGGAAAGGAAAAAGAGAGATGGAGGAGAGATCCTGCTGCACTGACCAGGCTGGATTATGCACAGCTCAGAGCACAGAGGGATCCTTGAGAAGGTCAGGGGCTGAGCAGCGAGCCTTTCCAGGCTGCTGCTCATTCTCTGCCGCCTTCCATTTGGCTTTTATTAGAGGATCAAAGGGCTGCCGAGGGCCGGTGATGATTGAAGTCTGAGCACTGATGCCTTTAGCAAGAGCCCTGTTTGCAGGGTCTGCCCTCTGAGCTGCCTGCCCTCCTCGCCCCTCGGGGTGAGCTCTGCAGGGTGCGGGAGATCCCGGGCACACTGAGTTCCCCGGAAATGTAACCTGTCTCAGCAATCCCACACAGCCCTCAGCACCCRACCTGCGGGAATGTTCTGTGGGAARTGTCACTGTTCTGTCCYGGGCCCTGCACTCCTTCRGGACCTGCTCCCCAGTGGGACCGGGAATCCAGGGACTGCRGGGATCAGCGTTGTCCTGAGCTCTGAACCGAAAAGTAACTGGTGTGTYACTCTGAAAGTAAGCTAAACAGCTTGAGCATAACTTTGTCTTGAGYTTTTAAGGAAGACATTATTCGTGCCGACTGTCCTGAAGAAGAGCATTAGTCTTGTGGCTTCTAGTCTAGACAGCAAGGCAAAGAAACCTGGCCTGGCAGAGAGCTGTGGCACAGAGGCTGGAGGAGTTACCTCCGCAAACAGAACAGGCCTTAATTATTTCATTCTCAACACCAGCTGCTGTTTAATCAGATTTTTATTTAAGTTTGCTGAAAGCAGGGCCGATAGAGATTGCCACGYTAGGATTGTAATGGATGAGGGCTGGCTGAGGTGCGTGCACACAGGTACAGCTAACCAAAGTTTGGAAGTGTGTCTTGAGCCATTTCCAGCAGAGATGTTTGTAAGCGATCCTGTTTCTTGCTTTTGTCGCTTGCTTACGCAACTTTGCATTTTTATTTGGCCAGMTATTATGCTCACTTTAGTGAAGGAAAGTTTGCTGGGGATGAAGAGTGAAAATGAGCTGAATAAAAATAGCCATGGTGCCGTTCTGCCTTTGTGCCATCGTAGGAGGCTGTGGACTCCTTTCTAAGTGATTTTTTTCCTCTTCTAGGTTAAGGGAAATACTGAAGAAAGCCTCTCTCCCTCCACAGGAGCCTGACACCCTGGTGTCAGTTACCTTGGCCATAGTTGAGACAGACTCCACAATAGTCTACTATAAAATGACTGATGGCATTGTGATGCCAGATCCTCTTGATGATACTGAAGACATGGACAACAAACAGTTGAGGAAGAAAAGAAAGAAGCTTTTCAAATGATTAGGACAGAGGAAACAAAATGTTTCTTGAGCTGCTGTGCTCCAACGCAAACAAATGCAGGAACTGATGTGTGTGAATTAGTGCTGTGCTAAAGTCTGCCTTGGCATATCAAGKATCTGTTCAGGGAGAACAGAAGCTTGTGCAGTTGCACTTGATTAAATGCCATTTGAGGTATGAAGTGGGTCATGCTTTGAGACAGATCAGTCCTGACTAATAAATACATTTGGGAAGTGTTTTGYACTTCTGTGTGTCCTCTCTGTCTGCTCAGGTAATGTTGTGGGTTAAGGTTTTTCCTTTTGTTTCCTTTCTTGGGGAAATTTTCTTTCCCATTTTGTTGCTGGGATACACTGATTGCCAGGTCATCCTTTTGATGGCAGGGTGATTGATGAAGACAAAAAAACCTAGGCACACCCGAAGAGTCTCCCTGGGCATTTCTCCTGCCTGGCAGTTTTTTTTCCTCTCTTTGGAGAAAGGGAAGTTTTCGAGGGAGTTTTGGGCCCCGAGGATGGTATGTGTATGTGTGGGGCGAAGGGTAGCTTCACTTCCTGCCCTGTTTGGCTTGGGGAAGGATGGTGGACCTGCTGCCTGCAGAGGAGAGCTCGCCTGCTGCTGCTTCAGAGCCCAGCATCTCTGGTCATTGGGTCCTGTTTGCTGCACTGTGATCTTCTGCGCCTGTGCCTTGCCGGGAACCCCTGGTATTCCAGCTGCAGTGGTCGAGTTCTGCTGCATCCCATCTACAGCCGTGGGATTCTGCTCGTCTCTTTGCTCATCTGGCCGTTCTGGGGTTTCTTGCTGTCCAGAGGAGCACCAAGATCGGCGTTTTCCACTGTGAGTTTGCAGAGGAACTTTTTCTCTGTCCACCTCTGTCGGTTTGTATCTACCATCGGCCACTGGGAGATCTAAACCAGCCGGGACCCGCGTCACAGCGCCCCCTGCAGCCTCCGGAGAATCATCACACCTGCCCTGCCCGGCTGGGAGCCAACAGCGCCCCTGCCAGCTGAGACTATGTGAGTGAGGCTGTCACTGGGTTTGTGCCTGGGTTGGTTGTTCCTATCATTGTTACTTGTTTCACCTTGTTATACATGTTAGTAAAAACTGTTATTCCCTTTTCCCCATATTCTTGCCTGAAAGCTGGTGATTTTTCAAAGCTATAATAATTCGGAGGGACGGGGGGGTCATATCCACCACTCCAAAGGGGGTCCCTGCCTTCATTGGCAAGCACCTGTCTTTCAAACCAAGACAGGTACATAATAGAATAAACACATCCTACCCATTCTGTAAATATTGGTTRCAGGTAAGTCTAAAGGGTTGCTGGCAGGGGGGAAGGGTTTGTGGTTTGCAGAGTGTCTTTGTCTTGGCCTGTCAGAAGCACTCATGCTGCCCCCGGGGTTCCATTGCTGAACATTGCTTTGCTTCCTCTGCTTTTGGAGAAAAGGCTTTTCCACAGAAATACTTCAATTTCTTCCCTGCAGAGGAAAACTGATTRTAGCAGCACCAGAGGCAACTAAAACACAAAAGCATGTCACCTTCTATGCTGTAAGTGAACACCAGTTATCTGCTTCAGGCACCAAGTGGGTTTCTAAAGCCACTGTCATTCCTAGGACTTACTTTGTTATCTCTTTGGACATAACTTCTRCATATTGAAACTGACTGCCCAGGAGCTGCTTCAGCTCCGAGTCAGTTAAGAGAAAAAACCCTGACTTTTAGTTCCTTGTGCAGGAATTTTCCAGGTCTTTTGCAGAGAGACCTTCTTCAGGTTAAACTTTAGTTCCTTGGCAATGAGATAACATCCCAGAGCAGCTCCTTGAGCACAGGAGTGTCCRTGTGACATCTGTGTGGCCAAGGAGCACACGCTCAGAAGGGGAAGCACAAGAGCTCTCTTTCTCCATGGCTAGAAGAATGGGAGAGAATCAAAAAACACAAGCTGGAAATGAAAGATCGTTTAAGCTTTGCCATGCCTGGGACTCGAGTGKATGTTTCTGTGGCTGTGGAGTTTGGTGCTATTTGGCCCAAAGTGCTGGGATGCAGAATGTTGCCCCAGAGGGAGCCYGGGGCAGGGAGGCCTTTGCAACCCYGGAGGAGAGGTGTCACTGTGACCTGGAGCTCCGCAGGGCACCTTTGTCCACTCCAGCCAGGGGAGACAGCGGTCTGTGGGCTTCAGTCATGGAGGAGGAGAGTTTTTCTTTGTCTTCGTCAGTGTTGCCTCCCTCATGGAGGAAAGCCATCTCATTTTGGTCCAACGCTGTCCTGCCTTGGAGGGGTCCCTGTGTGCTGACTCCTGCCACGCCGTGTGAGATCTTGACCTTGATATTCCATGGGATCCATGGCTCATTCCATGAAGCAAATCTTACACCTGGCTAGGCTGYGTGCCACCAGGTGAATTGGGCTTGTTCCAGGCTGGGCAGTACCTCAGCTCACAGGACACGAGCTGGTTTGTGTGCAGGAGGCTGTAACAGATGCTGACCATGACAGAATTGGGATCTAAACGACACATGCTTAACCCCAAAAGCAAATTCCTTTGCATTTGCTTCAGTTTCTGGGAAATGCTGCCAGTTTGCAGTTTGCTGCACAACTGATGCTTGGCTTTACCAAGCATCATTTTATCATTTCTGTACACAGGAAGTGGAGCAGAACTTGGGCCTCCTTTCCTATGCACTGAAAAMTGCTGACCCAGGCTTCACAAGAGTTGGAGAAACTGGATCCTGAGGCTTTGATTTCTGTTCTTGTGTCCCGCTGAGAAATGATTACATGGGCCTTTTTCCAGGCTCCTTAGGTTGTGGTTGTTCTTTATTTCTGAGGAGAAAAAACACAGAAAAACCAATAATATCACAGCACTGTTTGTCCCACAGGTATTACTGTGTAAACAGGGGGCTGTTGAAGGAGCTGGGAGCTAGCTGTGCTGTGCCTTTCCGTTCCACTGAAGGATTTCTCTCTGTCAAGTCAACAACACACAGACTGAAGCCTCTGGTCTCCCAGGCACTGAATAAAGATAGGCAGAGCTTTCCCTTAGACACGTATCAGTTCAGAGCAGTAGCACATTAACATTCCTGAATCCATAGCATSCTGGGGCTGTGCCCAAAGTGTTCAAGCAAAACTCTGCTTTAAGTGTTTGTGAGACATCCATGGAAGCGTGAGCCATGACACTGCTGCCAATCCAGCTCTTGTTTCAGCCTAGAAGACTTTGCAGGCTCCATCCTGCCATCTTTTAAATAGATTTTTTGGGTTTTTTTTTGTTTTATTTGCCAAGCACAGCTTGATATGTTTTACTGAACCCCCCTGACCAACAGAAGGTGCTTTAAAATATGGAGAGTATCRTTTTGCAGTAGATTGTTGTTCCAAGCCACTCCTCTCTTCAGAGGGATGTTTGCATTGACACTTCCTCACCAGGGCAAGAATRACAGAAAAGCAAAGCTATCTTAATATTTCTCTTTTCTGTCAGCAAAAAGGATTTTTCCTTTAATTTAAAACATTTTTTCCTAATGAAGAATCCATACGAATTTATGAATCATTGTACAAGTGTTGCAGGTCTATAGGAATTAAATGTTTAATAGCTTGTCCCAGTAGTTTTCAGGCATCTAAATGCTGTCAACTAGCCTGCAAGCCCTGCTRTTTGTGAATGGGCTCATTGTTAACCTCTATCCTCCAGGGACAGGGACAAGACCCAGGGAATGGCTGGAGCTGTGGCAGGGCAGGGTCAGGTTGGATTTCAGGGAAAGGTTCTTCCCCAGAGGGTGCTGGCACTGCCCAGGCTCCCCAGGGAATGGTCCCAGCCCCGAGGCTGCCAGAGCTCCCAGGGGTGCACAGGGTGGGATTGTTGGGTTGTCCTGAACCAGGAGCTGGGCTGGATTGTCCCTGTGAGTCCCCTCCCGCTCAGGATATTTCATTATTCTAAAAACAGCTGCAGCTGTGCTTCAAATTCCAGGGATATCCAGGGAACTGATGGCTTTTGTATGTCATTCCCTTGTTTCTCTGGTGCTCCCCTGAGCCCCCGGATCCCTTAGCCCTGGCTAAGTTAATGCTCTGACTCTGGTCAGCTCCCTGCTGGCTGTTGTGTTTGCGGCACCTGATGGGCACAGCTCGTTGTCTGACGCCTCCGTAGCCGTTCTTTCCACCCAYTCCTGGCTGCAAGTTCCTCCTCCCGTGCCTTGTCCGCCCATCAGGCTCAGTGCCAAACCAGAGTGGCTCTGCTCATCTTTTTCACGGCTTTTCCCCCTCCCTGTTTCTCGCTGCTCTGGTCATCTTGTCAGCAAATTTCTGTCCACTGCCTTCTTGACCCGTGTTTCATTCCCTTAGTTACCCTCGAATTGATCTTTACACACTATCTGCAAATTCTCCTTTCTTTCCAGCCCTGCTGGGATGCCTGGGCGCTCTGCCTTTCCCTGCCCTAAYCCAGGTACCAGCTGATCCTCTCAGTTCCACCAGACCAGTCCCATTTACCACGAAAATGTTGGTAAATTGTGAGGCAATGTCTCGTGAGCCCTGTGCTGATGTCCAGCCAGCAGAAAGTCACAGAATGTCCTGAGCTGGAAGGCACCCAYATGATCGTCCAGCCCACTCCTGGCTCAGGACACCCCAACAATCCCGCTCTGTGCTGGAGCTCTGGGAGCCTCGGGGCCGGGACCATTCCCTGGGGAGCCTGGGCAGTGCCAGCACCCTCTGGGGACAGAAGAACCTTTCCCTGAAATCCATCCTGACCCTCCCTGGCACAGCTCCAGCCCTCCCCTGGGTCTGTCTGTCCCAGGGAGCAGAGATCACAAGGCTCTGTCCTTTGGAGGGCAGGGTGGCCGTCACCGCYCTTTCCATGATCCCAAACACCCCCATTGACCCGGCACGGATGTTCCCTACCTCAATCCGCCGGCAGAGCCTGCAGCAGAGGGCGCTTGGAGACCGCCGAGCCGGARCCTTCCTCCTCCGGGAATGCTGGAGCTGTGCAGAGCTCCCCCCACTCGTCTCTCAGAAACAAAAGGAGGGGAAAAACCTGKCAGCAGAGACACCTGACATAGCAATTCTTCCTTCCTGGAGGGAATGGTGTCACTGAAATCTTCCCGGGGAGAGACTTTGTACAGGGGGATGTAGTGACAGGACAAGGGGAATGGCTTSAAGGWGCCAGAGGGCAGRGCTGGATGGGATWTTGGGAAGGAATTCCTCCCTGTCAGGGTGGGGARGCCCTGGCACAGGGTGCCCAGAGAAGCTGTGGCTGCCCCTGGATCCCTGGCAGTGTCCAAGGCCRGGMTGGACAT